AGAATGATGAGCTCCGTAAAGTCCTTCCGGGCGTTCCGATTGGAGGCAAAGCTACGCATCTCGTTGAGTTCATCGAGAAACGCCAGCGACGGAAAGCCCAAAGAAAGAAAGCTGCCCATGCCAGAACCAGCGCTTTGAAACAAACCCACGAGCGCCATTAAGACAGCGTATAATGCCATAGCACATGAACGATTAATCTAGCGCACCCATATTACCACTGGCGCTTAATCTTGAGGAACTGGTCCGCGGTCTTGAAGCGAATACCCGCGCCCTTGAGCTTGGCACGCATCGTCGTTTCCGAAGTCGGTGCCACCGACGCCGTCGCATCCGTGATGACCGTCACTTCATAACCAAACATAGTGTTGGCGTCGTACGCCGTCGAGCCGACGCAAAAGTCGAACGCGAGACCCGTCACCGCCAAGTTGGTGATGCCGGCGGCGTCAAGGATGCCCGACAACTTGGTCTTGGTCCGCTGTCAACATTCCGCATTAGCCCACGACATTTTTTAATCAATTCGCGTACGTGATCGTTTTCAAGGAGAGCCGAGTACGAGTCAAGCGTGAGGTTCATGCCCTTGAGAATGTTGACGTCGGTCGGCGCGCGGACGAGGTCCTTGTGAAAGTCGGCGCCTGTCGAGCCCTACCCCGCGTTGAGATATTCAGATATGTGTGGGATGCGTCGGACCTGCACGCAGTGGTCGGGCCAGAGCACCTGCTCCTCGCCGTTGGTGAGCTTGTAGGGCTGGAACATCTTAGCCTTGGGGTCCTTGGCGAACGTCGAGTAGAACGAGACGTGGCCCTTGGGGTGCCAGTCCTGGGTCGTCACGACAAGGTCCCACTGGCCCTTGGCACGGAGCTTGTTGATCGTCGGGATGATGGCGTCACCACCCGAGACGTACAGGCTACCCGTCGGCGACGCAAAGTCGTTTTGCATATCAACGATGATGAGCGCCGTCTACCGCATGCGGTGAGGACTCGGTCGCGAGTGCATCGGCGACCGTACCTTTTGGGCAGCAACGGCCGTCGCGAGGGCCGCCAGAGCGAAAGAGAGGAAGCGGACCATGGAAACTGGTAATGGTACTCGCACAGGTCGAATTGGAAAATGAGCACAAGGGCACGATGCAGTGCTTGGCAGAGGTGCGATGTCAAACCCGATGGTGGCAAGACCAGCCGGCGTGAGCCGTGACACACAGATGGCGGGACTGACATGACAAATGGTGTGAACTGGATGAAAAATATGGACGTAGCGTCGACACTTGCGAATAAAGATCGTCGTTTCTGTCGTTGCCATTGGCACGTAAACCATGTTCGGATACCGTAATCAGGAGCGCCCTAGCTTTTTGGACAAGGTATCGAGACGTCGGATTCCCAAGCTCGTAAACGTGGTGAGGTGAGGCGCTGGGATTCGGTGGCCACAGAAATTCGAGTGCATACCCCGTCGACATGGCAATGACCTGGATACGACTAGCCGTGCTCATGGCAGCCGATTGCTCCGACACGGCGTGTTGCCCGTAACGTGTGGGTGAGGTCCGTACAGAGCACCAACAGCTGTTTGCAGATGTGCATACAAGCAGTGGACGTGCCCTTCGGAGCGTCCATGTTGCTTATTCGGGGCACCCTCCACCGTCGACCTACAGCGTCTTATACGCGACGGACGGCTCCAGATGCGCCGACGCGGGAAGCGAGATAATGCGTTGGATACGGCATGCGTGCCTTCTTCCAGTGACCGACGTCCTTCGCGCCAAAAAGCGGGCAAGATGATGACGCAGCATCGGAGGAGTTGAAGTAATACGTACACGCGTACGATGTAACTCGGATACCGAGTGCTCGCAAAAGCTTTACAGCGTTCACCACGACAGCTGAAGAACCCAACCTGAGTCTCGTTGGACAGGTTTGCAGTGACGGCCGTGAGTAAGCGTGGCGTGCCCCAGACCGCACGGGCTTGGCGATGTGGTCCTGCCGTAGAGTGCATACGAAGCGAAGAGACGAAGTCGTGTGCTCTTCCACCCACGCTGGCGCCTTTAACGATGTATTCGTCCGATTGGTGTAGCTATCATTGCAGAGTGCACTCGCCAAGTTGCAGAAGTGGATTTAAAAAGAAATATTGGAGCAGTATCCGCAAGATTCCAGGCGACGTGTTAATGCAGTTGATACTTACCTACCCACCTCGTGTACTGTGTACTAGTATCCGCTCGCTACGACGACTTTGTCGCGACTGACAAAAGCTCCATTGATGACAGTCCAGAGGGCGGTTCGACGCGACGGAGCGGCTAAAATACTATGGGGCTACGTATGCTCTTGGTGTACAAAAGGCTAGGTGGCCACGTGGCACTGGGTACCATCGTGGACGATGGCTGGACGGTCGCCATCTCGAGCTCTGCGGTCCAATTTGCAGCTAGATCTGAAATGGATGCATTTTATTGGTCTGATTTTGAAGCCATAGGTATCATAAGGCGCCTTTCATGATCGCGGTCGGCGGTGTGATTCCGAGGTCCTCACAACACGAAATGAACAGTCCAAATGAAATCGCTCATGCGTTGCAGGTACGTAGAGATAGCTCTTACGAGCTCAAAACCCCAAGTCGCGTCATCTTTCTATGCCTACAACTGGGGAAAGGACCCGGCAACGAGTCGAGTCCATCCGATCACAGAAATATCATGCGTGAGAATGACGTATTTCATGGCATATCGCGGCTGTGATTCCTCCTCCACCCAAGAGACGTGCATCAAGTTCGACTTCACACGCGTCTCTGACCTACCTGCCCGGCGTTGGCGCTCGTCGCTAGCACTTTGACGCGGTCGCTAGCACGTCTGCAGCGGTTGCTGCTGGTACGCCGGAGACGAAGGTCGCCGCCAAACTGAGTGCTGAAGCTACAGACGCGACACCTCTGATTCAAACCGCTGAAACGCGCATGCGACAGCCGTCATCGTTGCGAGATTGATGCGTGTCGGGTCCGAATGCGCACGCGTGAGCGCGCGAATGACGATGCAGCAGCGTACGCGGGCGCGAGGTTGCCACAGTCCGTGGCGATGCGCTCGAACGAAACGTCCGGCGTCGATAGATCGGCTTTCAGACATGGTGGGCACGAGCAGGTAGAGCGCGATGCCGCTGGCCATGAGTGAGCCTCGAGAGCCCGTGCCTGCACCTTTCTTGACGAGCCAGATGACAACTTGTTCTAGCGCTTGCAGGATGCGGCTCGCAAGCGTATTACAATCTATAGCGCAGCGAGTATCGCGAGAAGAAGCGGCCCGCCACGGCGAGAGGGTCGCGGCGGTCGGCTTTGTGGTCGCTGCGCTGCCAGCCGTCGCGGGCTGCCTGCCGGTGCAAGCAGGAGGTCATCATTACGCGTGCCGCGCGGAAGGTGGAAGCCATCAAACTCGGCGCTGCGAGGTGGTGTGCGCGCTCTGACGCGGCGCAGCCCCTTCAGCAGCGTCATGGCTTGTCAGTTTGGGATTGCCCTTGTTATCCGGATTTTATCCGGACGCTTTGCGATCGTCCGCACGCGTTGCACCAGCACTCGACGTTGTCGCTGTCAGCTAGTGTTTTGGCGCGTCGTCGATACACTAGTAGCTCTCAGGACGAAGACGCCCGACGTGGAAACATTGGTATTTGTTATGGCTACGGCTACGAGGTGCTGCCCATGGCCACCAACACAGTTGGCGCGACCCAGTACGGAAACCCTATAGCTTTTTCGTGCCTGTCTACGCCTACAATAAGGCACAAGCGCTGCTACAGAGCCATCGGTCGTGCTTGGCATAGTATGGGATCGCAATGACTCGACGACGCAGACCGCATCGTTCGCGTCATTCGAAGAAATTGCATGAGAAGGCAGCGATCATCGCTATCAAGAAGGCTCTACTCAATCAACTAGGGTTAGGGGTCTGAGAGCGCGCATGGGAAAAGGAGCGGTACTCCAATTGTCGTGTACTAACGTTATCTCATCTTGGTAGTAGATATGTACGCTTGCAAGAAACAACTTGGAATGGACAGCTTGAAGCCACCAGCAAAACTCCCCAAAGGACGAAACTGTCGCATATCGGGAAGGGGCGTTTGATCCCGCCTCGCCCCACGGACTCTGGATGCTGCTTTGGGCCGTGGTCGTATGCGTGGCTCTGTGTCCAACACTGAGCGCAGCTCAGACATGCCAGCTCTCAACGCAGGTGACCAAGGCGCCAGGTACAATGTGTCTCGTATCTTGGCGCGCAAGACTTTAATTGGCGTAGGGACGCTCCGCGACCGAAGTCCGCAGAGCGGCAACTACGCCGACGGTGTCGACTGCCACTGGCAGATCAAGACACCGACGACGAGCACGATCGTGAGCCTCACCTTTTCGCTCCTCAACTTGAACGCGTGGCAGTCGTCCGACAACGACGTGGTGCTCGTGAACCTCGGGCTCAACGCCCCCAAGCCGACGGGGTGGGAGCTCTACACTCGCAAGAGCGCGCTCGCGGGTACCGACAATATCGGAATGTACGACTATGCGTCGTCGACAACGCCGTCCGTCGATACATGCGCGGCTCAGCAAAGCGGGCACTTTGACCCGTCGATTTGCAACGTCGTCGACGGCTCGCTCCTCAAAGACACGGCTCGCAACGGGTCGTGGTACTATTTCATTGGGTCGAGCGACGCAGCCATGAGTATGCAGTCGACGGCCCAAGATGTCTATGTCATCTACCGTTCGTTTCTCAAAGACAATGGCGCGACATCGCCGCAGTCATCCGTCTACGGGTTCACCGCCAGCTATGGCTTTGGTACCTCGATTTTTCTGAAAAATAGCGTCCAAATTATTTGAAAATGGCTCACATCGTTTCTAGTGAGTGCCTATTGCAGTGGCCTCGTCGTGCTAGCACCGACACTCTCGGTCGCGTCGGGCGCCAACGCCACTTCAATGCAGAGCTTTCGAGACAACATGCTTGGCCAAAACATACAAAACATGGTGTGTTCGTGGCGTATCCAGCCGACGCGCGTCGACGGCGCCACGACAACGTCGTTCGATGCGATCTGGCTCACGTTTGCTTCGTTCCAGCTCGGACCCAATGCAGTGGTGACCGTGTACGTCGCACACTGCCTGCGCAAACATCTTTAGCGCTGCGTAGGTACGACGGCCCGGACACGAGCTCACCGGTCCTTGTGCAAGCACGCGGGGGCCAAGGTAGCCTTGCAACCACGTCGTTCAGCAACAACCAAGGGGTTATGTTTGTAACCTATGCGTCCAACAATGCGCCGTCAACCCCAGGTTTCACCATCAACTGGCAGGCGGGTACGTAGAGACTCGTTCCACACACAGTCGTGTAAATGGTGGTGTAGCCTACTGCCCCAAAGGCTGCTCGGGGGCCCACGGCAGTTGTGTGGGCGGCGCGTGCATTTGCGTGCATGGCTGGGCCGGTGCTGCGTGTGACATTCCCCAAGGCTGGCTCTGCGAGAGCACCCACTACAACACGACTGACGGCTGCGACTGTGGTTGCGGTCTCTATGGTGCGCCATTTTGCAGTCATGTTTACGGACGATATACTGGCATTAGATCCCGACTGTGGCGCGCTGGCCAACTCGGTGGTCGCGTGTCAGAGCGCACCGAGCTTGACCAATACGGCCTTCAACGCGTCCCAAGGACGGCTGCCCACGGGCACATGCATTTATTGCCCCCTGCCGCTTTCGATACCAGGTACGTTTGCCAGACGTAGACAGTGCACTTAGCACCTTCGTGTAGAGCAAGTGATGCTTCCGCAAACGAGCTGGAATACGACCGACGGGTCCTTGGACGAAACGTGTCCGAGTGTGCACCAGTGCGGCGTCGGGGCGCAGTGCGATGCCGGTGGCAGCTGCGTGCGCGTGGCGCCAACCGCCTCCATCGTCCTTGAGAAACAATGCGACGTCTCGAGCGACTGCCCCGGGTCGACACTCTGTCTCAACCACATCTGCACCTCGGACCTCGCTGACTTTGGACTCGTCTTTGCTGACGCGTCGCTCGTCGCGTCTCGCTGCCAACTGGTTGGACTCAACACGACGACCGGTGTCACGATCGAAGCTACGGTCCGAATTGCTTCTCGGAACGCAACCGACGTGCTTTTGAGCTACCCTGGGCTTGCGCTCGGGACGTCGTCGGGGTTGACGGTCTCGATCACGACCGAGACGTGGCCAACGACCATTGCCATCGACACGGGCCGGTGGTACTCGGTGGCTGTGACGTGGCAGGCATCTGACGCGACCACGTCACTATACTTTGTCAATGCGACCGCCAACACGAGTACGCTCATGGCGACGACGCAGTTGCTGAATCAAGGCGTCTCGTTGCTGCCGCTTCAAACACTCTTGGTCGGTGGTTTTCATGGTGCTATGAGCTATCTGCGGCTATGGAACACCGTGCGCGACCCCGCGACACTCTTTCAGCCGACGCTGGCGGCCGATCGCGCGGCCCTAGTTGCCGAGTACCGGTACTTGTCACCGTCACCACCGATTCCTTGATGTACATATTGTCCATAGTTTTTTGGACGGGTCGGCGCGCGACCTCTCAATATACCAAAACGACCTCAGTCTAGCGATGACTGGCATCAACCCGCTGCATCCATCGCAGTCGTTTGCGTTCGCCTTTGGCGCGAGTCCGGCAGGTTTGATGCGTCTGTTGAAGTGTCGTACTCCATGACCGAGTAGGCAGCAACCCGTGCACGGAGCTGCCCGTGGTGCTGGCGGATGGTTTTCCCGCCAACTCGGCACTGCTTGTCTCGGCCGTGCCAACCGGCAACAATTGGAGCGTCGGTTTCTACACGGCGAGCGATACCGCCATTCTTGAAGTCAGCGCGGTCTCGGCGGCTCAAGTGGAGATTGCAGTCGATGGCACCGTGGTGACGACGCTCGCGGCGCCCCAGATCCTCGACCCCACGGCCACCCTCGCGCTTCGGTTTCAACGCATTGCGACGTTGACCATGCAGGTGTGCATCGCCGATGTTTACTGCGCGACGGTCGCGCTGCCTCCCGCGAGAGTCTTTGCTTCGTTTGCACTGGCAGATGCGTCCGACTTTGCGTCTTTGTGCGTCTCGACCGCGTGTACGTGTCATTCGTGTTAGCTCCATCATAGAATCATGCGCTAGCGACCCTCGCCGCGCTCGCAGCCAAGGCGGTGCTGACAACCACGACCACGGCGGGCGGCACTTGCAGCTTTCCTATGGTCGCGACGCAGCGCGACTGCGCGCTCTTTGCAACCTATGTCGCCGGGACGCCGTACCGGAGCAATGACGTCCTCTTGGCTGCTCGCATTTACGCCTACGCAAACTTGGATCAGAGTACCCAGCCGTGTACATGTAGCGTCATGCCAACGTGGGTCGTCCAACACGCGATTCTGCAAGTCGACTCGGCGGCCCATACGTTTCTGACGCGCATCACGTACACGACCATCAAGACCAAAACGACGCCCGATGCGACAACAGTCTCGTGTGGCAACAACTGCTACATTTACGACCCAGCGACGCCATGGCCGGCCCCCCCAGGCCAGCCGCCGCAACTACCGTCGTCGGCACAAGGCACAGCCGCCAAGCAGTACCCAGTGGCGCGTGGCTTTACCGTGTCTTTCAACAGTGCGACGAATGCTTGGAGCGTCGTCAACGTAACGCTGGCGGGCGATGTCCCAACCGCCCAATGCCTTGTCACGGGCCCGGACGCTGGCACCGTGCTTGTGAGCTACACTGCCTTGGCGTGCCTGACGCTGGGTGCATCGACGCTTGACGCAACGACGTCGACGCCGTGGTGTCTCGTCAACGGGCAGCAGCACACGTGCATGAGCGAGAGCAACCCGTGTGGCCTGGTATCGGGCACCGCCACGCGCAACAGCACGTCCGGAAGCATCAGCGACGGCTACGAGACGACAGCGACGTCCGGCGTGCACACGTGCCGGTACACGATTGCCCCCGATGTGCCCTTGGCGCTACGGCCGTACACGCGCATTCTGCTCACGGTGCAACAGCTACAGCTATCTGCCAATGACGCGGCAAGTAGTCGAGATGGCACCCTCTTGTCTGAGTGTCGTGGCTAGGTTTTGGTGACCGACACCGCCAACAACATTGCGCTTACCTCGACGTTGAGCGGGGCCGTCGACTGGGCGTACGTACTGACCACGTGAATCAAAAAACGATGTCTCATGTTCTGCTAGTACATTGGCAAGCATTGTCGCCAACACGAGTAGCGTCATGGTCGAGTACGACAGCGTCGGCGACAAGAGCGGCACCGCCTACGACGGCTTTTTCATCGAGTACGACGCGTTCTACACCTTTCCAAATGCGGCGACGACCCATTTCTGTCACGCGCCGAGCCAGACGCTGTTGCTGAATGCAGCGACGATGGTCTTTCCTACGACCAATCTCTCGAGTGCGACGAGCGGCATCAACCAGACGCAGTGCAGCTATGTGTTTGCTGCACCGACGCCGGTGTCGTCGCTGTGGCTCTCGTTTCTGGAGATCAACCTCACCGACGCCAACGGCGGTGCCGGCGACTATATTACGCTCTACGATGTCGCACCGACGCCGACACTGCTCGCCAACGTCTCTGCAATGTCGTTTGTCCAGCCCAACTATGCACTGGTTCTGAGTGGCGTCGCCGACTACAGCATCTCGACCTCGCCGCTCCCGGCGCTCCCGACAACCATTGTTTTTTGGCTCTACGCCGCGTCGACCATCAAGGCCGACTGCACAGTTGCCGCCAACTGCGTCAACGCCGTGCCAAAGAAAATGAAAGTCATGGCATCGGCTAGCAGTACGCCGCTCGCTGCGTACTTCACGGTGCAGCTGGCCGTCGACACGGGGTACCTCTCGCTTGTCGTTAGCGACGTCGAGTTTACGGCAACGACGACCAGCGTTCTTGTCGATACGTGGCTGCACGTGGCGTTCGTGCACCAGCCGAGCCAGAACGATGTATTTGCCTACATTGACGGCGTCCGACAGGTCGTGGCGCGGACGGGCGCCGTCAACGACACGCTAACGACGCCGATGGATGCGCTCTTTACTGTCGGCGGGGACAGCGCGCTACCCGACACCGACAATATCTTTTTCGCGGGTAGTGTGCGGCAACTCCGGCTCTACAACAGCTCCAAGACCATGCTCACCCTACAGCGCATGCGAACCAGTGCCTGCGACATCACGGACGCGTCCCTGCTCTTGTGCTACGAGTACGGCGCGCCCAATATAACCATGGTACCTGCTCAACTGCATATACGGTGGGGTTCAATACTGACACCATGATCGTAGGTGATGGACGCAAGCCGCTTTGGCATCCACAGTCAACTGCATGGCGGGGCGTCTGGAAGCGCGACGTACTCGTCCATGCTGCCTTTTACAGTGTTTACGTCGTCGTCGTCGCAACTCGAGCTGCGCTACGTGCCGTCGTCTGCCCACTCGACGACGACCTTTCGGGTGCTCGTTCAGGGCATGACGTGCCCATCGTCGTGCAACAATGGCACGTGCGTCCGGGGCGCCTGTGTTTGTGCACCGGGGTACACGGGGGCGCAGTGCGAATCCAAGACGAATCCGTGCTTGGCCCGCGTGCTGCTTCCGAGTCGGCGCGGGGTCGTGGCGTTCCCGCCACCGCAAGTGCCGAGTGCTATGGTCCCAGCGCGACCTCGATTGGGGTACCCCCCGTTGCAGTGTGCGTGGCACTTTGCAAAGACCAACGCGATCGTCGTTTTTGAGGTCGTCTCGGCCGACGTCGAGACAACGGACACCGTGACCATATACGACGGCGCCGCGTCCAGTGCAGTGTACTACGACGGCACGTCCAACCACAACCTCTCGGCAGCAACGGCCGTCGACCGCGCTCTCTTTTTGCAGCAGTCGACGACCACGATGTACCAAGTCGAAATCTTTCAACACGTGGCAACGTATGACGCGACGGTCGCCTTGCGGCGGACAACATCAATCGACAGTTGTCACCCGACGTACGACATTGTGCGCTACCGGCGCGGACAGACGTGCGTCGACGCCAGTGTCTACGGACTCCCCCAGCCCTCAGCCATCTCGCTCGCGACCGCTTATTGGTGGACCAAGTCGCGCCAAGCTTACCAAACGCACTTGACCGTCGGTCAGATGTACTTTAACGCGTTTGACAACACTACGGCCAACACCACGATCGAGTACACGATCACGAGCCTCGACAATGCGACGGTGGTCGCGTCGCCGTACCCGACGTCGGTGCGATTCGCCAAGCGAACGGAGACCTTTATGCGGTGCATGGACGGTGCGGACGTGGGTTTGGACGTGGCCGCGTCCATCATTGCCGGTGCGTGGCCGTCGCGACTCGGTCGGACTAGCATTGCATCGGTCGTCGCATCCTACGCCGATGTGGTCGCGCCGATGCTCTCGTACGTTGGAAACTGGACGTATGCGCTGCAGGGGCTCGTACGCCTCGACTTTGCGACGACCAGCGCGCGCCTTCAGTCGAGAGCCTTTACGCTGCTCATCAACGCCAGTGTCGTGCTCACCAACAGCGAGCAGTACTTGGTGGCGCAAGAAAACTGCAATCTCGGATCGCTGGTGCTCAAGGTCACGGCCGCGGCCCAAAGCCGAGGGCAGTGGGTCTTTGGCGCCTACGGCATAAACGCGGTGGCTTCCATGAGTCCTACCGTCTTCTCGGGGGATACCGTGAGTCTTGCCGTCACGTACGAGGCCGGCGTCGTCACGTACTTTCTCAACGGCGTGCGCTACGGCGCGTACGACACGAACACGGCGTATCGCAACTGCTTGGCCACACGTGCCAAGCTCCTTGCGCAAACAGGCAGCCCCTTACTGTGCGTCGCACCCATCACCGGATTTGCGGATGCTAGTCGCTTGACGCTCGGCGCCCGCCTCGTTGCCCAGCAACTTCTCAACAATTGGCGTGGCGCGATCTACAGTGTCCACATCTTTTCGAGCGTCCTGCCGGACGCGGTCGTTGCGTCTTTGTATACTGGTGTCACCGCGCTCGGCGCCTTTCAACCGCAAATGACGTATATCAATGCTGTCGACGGTGCCTCCAATGGCTCGGTCAGTAGCTCTACACGAGCAACTTTGAGCGCCATTGAAGTACTCTCCGTGCCAGTCGGCGCGACAACTGTCACGTCAACGGTTGTCCGGCAGTGGACGCTCCGTCGACTCGGGTGTGCGACGCCACCGGCCGATTACGGGCTCAATGCGACTGTGCTCGCATCGCTGATCGGCACGGCCAACGTCGTCTTTAACGCCTTTGACGCGACGTCTGCGATCGTGTCGTGGGACATGTTCCAGCAACAGGCCACGCTGACGCGCACGAGAGTATATGCCTTTGGACTCAACGATTCAACCATCGTACAACAGCTCACGGCGTACAGCGCGAGCGCCGAGCCGAGACCCTATCGTATCAGCACGCTTTGGGTCAATACCGTGAGCAACAGCAGTGCTGTAGTCACATTTCAATTCCCAAATGCTCTCGGGACGCTTATCACTGCGGCCACCGAGCTCCCGTATACAAACGCATCGTGGACGACGCCGACGACGGTCGTTCGAGTGGTACCTCCAGCGTTTGCCGAGGTAACAGACACTGCGTGTGCGCCTCAGGGCCCACCCATCAAGTCCCCAAGCGGTGTTCTTGCCACCGGGCAGCTCGTCGAAACGCAACTTGCGGCGGGCAACACCCAGTGCCGCTGGGTACTGCAACCCACGGGCGTTGACACGGTCACCGTTGTCTTTGAGTTTCTTCATGTCGTCTGCGCCGAAGGCTCGCTAACGTTGTCCGCACCGTCGCGACCAACGCAAAACGTCTGTGGCTTGGGCGCCGGCACCCGTGTGACGCTGCCAGGGCCTGTGACCATCACGTACGCGACAGCACCGGTCGTGACGCTTTCAACGGGGTTCTACGCGACGTATACCTTTGCGAGTCTTGCAGCCAGCATCAATGCGACGCTAGCACCGAGTAGCTACTCGCCATGGGCGGTGCAGTCGACGTCGCGTCCGGGCATTGCGCAGTGCCAACTCGACGACTCGACCGAGTCGGCGGCGCAGCCGTGGCAGGTGGTGCACAGTACGCTTGACGCCGCGTTCAACTACACGTGCTACAACTATACGTGGTTGCCGCCTGATTATGCATGGATCGTGTCGGCGTTTGGCGATACAGATGGTGTCACCGACTGCAGTACGTGGACAGCCGATGAAAGCGCGCCGTGGACGGCCTATGCCACGACAACGGTCAACGCCACGGCGCTGTACTCGGCCCCGGCGACAAAAGCTTCGGCGTCGTCTCTCCGCTTTACATCGGGGAGCTCGCGCCTCTTTTCGACGTCGATGGGGCAAGGCGAAGTCGCTCTCGCCTCGACGACCGGTGGGCGCGGCAGCTTGGAGATCCGGTACTACCTCCCGCGCGTCTACTATGTCGCTCCAGCAAGCTACCAAGCTGCGGCCAGCGGCATGGGTCTGGGTACGCGCGAGTCGCCGTACACGTACACGTTTGCCTACTTGTTTGCCAATATATTGGCGGACGGCGACCTCCTGCGGGCATTTCCCGGTCGCTACGAAGGCTCGGGCTACTGCAATCTCGTGATTACAAAAAGCTTCCACATCGAGTCGCTCAGCGGCAGCGCGTATACGGTCGTGTCGTGCGGGTCGTCGACGCGGGGGTGGCAGTTGCAGCATACCTCGGGGCTCACGGTCGTGCGCGGTCTCACGTTTACCAAATGCTTGGTACAAGCACTCTCGATCACCCCAACTCTATTTAACGTTGCTGTATAGACGACGGTGGCGCCGCTGCTCGGGTCGGCGCTGTACATTGCGGGTCGCACGACCGTGGACCAGTGCCGGTTCACGCAAAACGCGTTTCTTGGCCAAGGCACGGTCGCCGTCGTCGCGCCCAGTACCGCCACCCTCACCTCGTGTGTCTTTGACGCCAACGTGGCCAACTACGGCAGCGCCGTCGCGATTCTCTCGGCCATCGCTACAATTATCGACTGCTCGTTTGTCGATAATAACGCGACGTCGAGCGGGGCAGTGTTGATCTCGACCTATACCGTCGGTGCGGTCGCACTGGTCAACCCGTCCGTGGTTACGATGGTCGGTGGTACCTTTACTCGCAACCGCGGTCTCCTCGTCACCGAGAGCGCTCTCTCCATCGTACTGAAAAGCATCGTGACCATCAACGACACGCGTTTCGTCGACAATTTCGGCGCCGCCGTTGCCGTCAATAGCGCCAGTCTCTACATCTTCAACGCAACATTTCGTGGCAATCAAGGCAGCGGTCTCCGACTCTCGTCGGCGGTCGCGACGGTTGTCAACGCAAGTTTTTTCGACAACACGGGGGCACCGACCGGCGGTGCGATTTTAGCTCAGGCGTCGCGTCTCAACTGCAGTGCAAGCACCTTTGAACGCAATCAAGCGACGACGTTTGGCGGCGCCATCTACCTCACAACGACCAACTACACGGGCAGCTCCAATGCGTACGTCAACAACAGCGTGCCCATGCAATCTGTTGCGACCAAAGGGCTCGGGGGTGCCATGTATGTGATCAACTGCTTTGACAACAGCCTCACACCTGTTGTGCTTATTGCCAATGCCACGTTTGCAGGCAACGCAGCAACGTCCGGCGCGGCTGGTACGTCTTGGCCGTAGTAGAATGTCGCGTCTCTTATGTGGCTCTGTAGTTCACATCACGCAAAGCTACGTGTCCGTCGCCCGCAATCGCTTTACTACCAACCTTGCGTCCAAGAGCGGTGGCAGCGTCCGTGTGACGATGACGGTGGCGCAAGACTCTGAGGTTGTCGTCCTTCTTCAAGACAATGTACACAGCAACAACAGCGCCAAGATCGGCGCCAGCGTGTATCTCGACAGCTCGGACCACGTTCGCGTCGAACGCGATGTGTTTCGAGATGGGTTTGCTCAGCAGTATGGCGGCGCGCTGGCCGCTTCTGGGGCTACCGATGTGGTCCTCGAGTCGGTCTTTTTTCAGCAGTGCGTCGCAGGCGTCGGCGGCGGCGCTATCTACGTGGAAGGCTCGTCCGCCGTGAGCATGCAACACACCGTATTTGATAGCTGTGCGTCGCTCACGGATGGCGGCAGTCTCTACGTGACGTCGAGCGTTCTCACGCTAGCATCTGGACGCATCAGCAATGTACGTACCTTGTGTGTGTACTGAATACGTTTTACGTTATGTACTAGACGTCGGCGGTCGGCTCGGGGGGCGCCATCGTGCTTATGAACCGAGACACCACTGCCACGATCTCCAACACGTCGATTCGTGGGGCCTCGGCTGCGAAAGGCGGCGCCTTGTACGTTATCGACTGTAGTCTTCCCCTTGGCGCGGTCACCAACCTCTCCATTATCGATGCGTCCGCCTCGCTTCTCGGCGGCGGCATGTATCTCGTGCTGGCCAACGTGGTGGCTACCTATTTGCAAGCGACCCGGACGTCTGCCGGCAGTGGCGGCTTGGTCGCGAGCCAAGACTCGGTGCTGCAGTTGCACAATGCGACCATCGACGCGGCGTCGGCCTCGTCCAACGGCGGCGCGTTCTACAGCATTCTTTCAACGCTCGCGCTATTCGGTTGCGACGTACGAGGGCACTCGGCGGGCGCCTACGGCGGCGCGCTCTACTCCTTTGCCAGTGTCGTCGCGGTCAGGTCCAGTGTCATTGACAATTGCACTGCTGCGTCGGGTGGCGGCGCCTACGTGGCGTCGTCGTCCGTCACGATGACCGAGTGTACCATCTCCAACAACCGCGCAGCGACCGGCGGCGGCTTCTGTGCGGACGTCTCCAACGTGACGACGACGACGTCGACGTGGGTGGCCAACCGCGCGACGGGCACCGGCGGTGCCATTTATTTTAGCTCCAATGCCTTTGCCGCGGTGAACTCTCTTTTTGTACAAAATGTCGCCGTTCAAGGCGGTGCAATCGCGCTTGTCGAACCCACAAATGCAACGGCCCACGGATGCAACTTTACCGCCAATGCCGCCACCGCGAGCAGCAGTGCGCTCGCGTCACAAGGCGGCGCCATCTACCTTATTGACGCCCAAGGACCCATTACGTTGACCGACACAACGTTCCTTCGCAACGCGGCGCGTGTCATGGGGGGCGCACTGTACATGACGTCCGCCGCAACGTCAAGTACCTATCCCGTTGGCCTTACAACAACCGTGTTCACCTCCAATGAGGCGGCAGTGGGCGGTGCACTCTACGCCAGCAACATCAACCTCGCCCTTGCCGCGACCACGCACGCCAACAACGAAGCGACCAATGGCGGCGGCGGTGCGATCTTTTGGCTGACGCTCGAGCCCTCGGGCATTTCATCCCAGACCTATATCGGCAACAGTGCCTCGTACGGCGCCAACTATGCGTCCAGCGCGTCCGGACTGCTTCCGCAGTACACGCCATTGGGTTCAGCGACCGCAACCGAGACGGGCGAGGCCAGCGGGGCAAACTTTGTAGGCACAATGCTCGTGTCGATCGTCGACAAGTACCTTCAGACGGTCACCACCGATAGCAGCTCGAGTGTCGTCATCACGGCGTTGACGACGAACGCGCTTGTCGTTGGCAGCGGCAAAGCGACGGCGGTTGCGGGCGTTTGCGACTTTGCCACTTCGGGCGTCCAAGCCACCCCCGGTACCGTTGGCGTGCTGCCTCGTACTATCGTTAGGTCGTAGGGCACGACGTCTCTTTTGCGTTCACTTCGCCGGGGCTCACGGCCTTTCGTAACGTGACCATGCATGTGCGCGCGTGTCGTCGGGGCGAAGTCACGCCGTCCGGCGTCAATGAGTGTGTACAATGTCCCTTTGGCCAATTCAGCTGGAACACGTCCGAGACGACCTGCCACAAATGCCCGACTGGCGCCATCTGCGGCGGCGGCGACGCCATCCTGGCAATAGCCGGCTACTGGCGCTTTCCCAACTCGACTGGCATTTGCACGAGTGGCTACGATGACTGCGCACTCATCGAGTGCCTTACAAGTGCCTGCAACGGCGTCGTGGCAGGTGCGGATACGGCCATGATCAACGTCAATGGCCCCAACGAGACAAGCATCCTTGTGCTCCCGGCGGGCACGTCCGACTATGAATTTGGCGATACTTTGCTTCTGAGCACCTTCACGTTTCCGGTTCTAGTCGTCGGAACAAAAGCCACGGACGACAACATGCAACTGTATGTGACGGGGTCGGGCACGCTCACCCACGGCAGTACGACAACCACTATCCACCTTTGAATGTTTTGATGCCAACCTATGTGTGCTAGGTACCGTGACGCTCTATCGTGTCGCCAACGAAACGTGTGCCGATGGCTACTCGGGGCACCTCTGCAACCAGTGCGCCGACGGCTACACCCGCAGCGGCAAATCGTCGTGCATTAGCTGCCCGAACAACTTGACGTTGACCCTGCTCGTGCTTGTGGGGGGCATCGTCGCTTGCGTCGTCCTTTCGGTTGGACTTATCTTTATGACCATGCGCAAGTCGAATGCGCGCGCGGATACGTACTCGATTCTGAGCAAGATCTTCACTTCGTATCTCCAGCTCGTGAGTTTGGCCGGGTCGTTTGAACTGAAATGGCCGTCGCAAGTGGTCTCGATGTTCAACGTTCAGTCGGCCGTCTCGAATCCGACTGCGCAGCTCATCTCGATCGAGTGTGCCATGGGGTACTACCGCGTGAGCTCGCACTTGCCGACGTACTTTGAGCAGCTCATCTTGTACCTCTGCCTCCCTATCCTCTGCATTCTGGCGCCGCTGGCCTTTTGGCAATTCGTATATTTCCGGAAGCAGCGGACGCTTCGCAAAACCGCGTGGCTACCACCCGTGCTCGCGATCCTCGACGTCCACCCGGACCCGATCGTGGACGCAGACACGTTGCCCCTCGTGCTCGCCGCGGTCAAAGCGCGTCCGTCACCAACGTGCCTTCTCAATTTGCACGAGCGCCTCGCGCTGCCGCAACCACTGAGCATGGTCAAGGCCGCCTACATCGCCGCGTTGCGACAGGAGATCCACGACAAGACCGTCGTGTCGGTGATTGTGCTCATGTTCCTCGTGCATCCGGGCGTGACCAAGGTCATTTTCGAGCTCTTCACGTGCACGCAGCTCGGCGTCGACAGCGACGGGGATGCTCGCTTTTTCATGGATCCGGATCTGGACGTGGCGTGCTACGACAGCAGTCACTACCGGTGGATGCTCTTTGTGGGCGTGCCAAGTCTAATTGTCTATACGCTCGGCATCCCTGCGTATGCACTGTACACGCTGCACAAGCACCGAGACACGCTAGAGGACCCGCGCACCAAACTCCAGCTCGGGTTTCTCTTTGACGGGTTTGTGTTTTTTTGATAGAGAGGAGCAGATCGATATCGTGCTGTAGGTACAAGACCCAGTACTACTACTGGGAAATCTGGTACACTTGGCTCGCTCGGCAGCAAGATGCATGACACGATTGTAGGGTCATGATGCGCAAGGTGCTCGTGAGCGCCGTCTCGGTGTTTTTAAAAAACTGGGGCACGCCGTCCCAATCACTGGGCGCGACAGGTCTTACGTTTCTCGCGCTCTACTTGCACATGGACCGGTCACCGTACGAAGCCGCCGTGATCAACAACCTCGAAGAAATGTCGCTTCTCACGTGTCTCTTTACGCTCTACTGCGGTTTGTATCTCTTCCAGTCGGTCGTCACAGGCTGGTTGCGCATTTTTCTTGGCGTGGGTCAAATGCTACACATGTACACGAGTGTCATGTGGTCTAGGTGATTGTTGTCGTCGTGAATTGTCTCTTCTTAATCAAGTTTGGCCGCCTCATGAGTGTCGAAATCAAGCGCAAGGCGGTGCACCACTTTCAAAAGGTCGCTCATGCGACCAAAGTTATCAAGCAAGTCTTGGGTCCCCGGCCATCCCTCGTTGCGGACAAGACGCCACCATGACGGAGACCTCATCGCGCGGCAAGGTGATGACAATAATGTCGAGTGAGCAAAAAGTCGTGGTGGTTCTTGCAACGTCTGAGTGTCTTGCGACGCGGCAAAAGCACAGTTCGACCTATCTGCTCCAGTTTATCCAGGCTTTCACTTCTTGGCGCGACGAGGAGGTGTCGCTCGACCTCGGACCTCGGTTGCCTTATTCTTATTGATAGTTCTTTCTCCTGTCCAGGCCCTCTACGACTGGCGTTACGTTTGTTGCTTTGTGGCGCCGCATAGTGTGTAGCACGCCAAAACGCTTCTTTTGGTTAGGTCTCGCTGCATCAAAACGACGCTTGTATCCGGGCTAAAGCTCCCCCAGAGGTACGAGTAAGACATACTAGCTAGCACAAGAATAGCCCGCCCGATCTAGTACGCAGCGCATCCCATTGGTATACATTGACTATGGATAGTACTACAGGAAGAGCTCGGACGTGAGATTCGCATCGAGTTTGTACGACGCAGCCGTACACCGGTATGCCTCCGGAGTAGCGGGGTGGAAGGCGCCAGTTCTCGCTGTCGCGGTGGCTAAATATGGCTAAATATGGCTAAATATGGCTACCGGTGGCAGTACTCCACAAAATATGGCAATGACCACAATTCGCAATTTGCTGCATCGCTTTTGCTCGACGCCTTAGCGCCGACGCGACATGACGCTACGTGTTGTCCACAATGCTGTCTATCGTCTATTCAACTTTGAACACTTTTGATTTCGAGAGCCAAGGTGGCCATCGCGCGCCGATTCCAACCGTCCACGGCGCTTGCGATTGGCTGAAACGATCAAAAACAAGAGCGAATCACAGCGTCGACAGCGATCCATGTCCAATTCTGTCCACATCGCATGGCCGCTTGACGACACAGCGCGCAAGCACCTCGCTCACCTTATGGAGCCATAATAGAGTGCGAGGGTTGCAACTCTTTGCTAATACTATCGCTGGAAATATGGACGCGAAACACTAACATCGGAACCGAACCATCACGTTGGATACATTCGTAGCAATTAATGAACGACACTAGACACACGCGCAGCGTTGCTTTCTGCGACTTTGGTTTACTTCTTGACGGGGCACGTGCCGTTGACCGTGCCCTTGCCGCCGGCGATGCGGTAGCACTTGGTCGACGGGAAGACGGCCATGATGTTGCTCGTCAACGAGAACGAGAGCGC